GCATTGACCCATGTCACTTTAGTTTTGTGTATTTCACTGTACATAAATTATATTTCAATAAAATGCATTTAAAAAAGAAAAAAAATATTTTTAGAAAGAAATAGCCTGTGCTTAAAGCTTAAAAAAAAAAAAAAATGGCTCCCAAACCAAATACATTATCACTGCATTTTAATGGACCAAGTATTATAGTCCATTTTATTCCATGTTCTATCTTCTTTGTATAGAAAGTAGGAAAAGCACAGAGGCTCTGGAAGCAACACAAATATATTTGAGATTGTTGTTGCCCAATGTTAGAGAGGAATTACGCCGGCTGCTTACTTTTATGGCTAGTGCATCAGAACCTAATGCCTACAAGCTACAAAAACAGGTGAGAAAATTTACATTAACAATACTTTTACAGTTTTATGATACTTCTTCCTTTAAGAACTATTCAAGCTAATGCTAATCTTTCTGCTTACAGTATGACAACAAAACAGTGGTCCTGAAAACTCTTACCAAAGCAGTTTTGCAAACCAAATCATTACACAAAGAACAAACAGAACATCTAGTCTGGTTTCTACTGGAGCATCACTCCGAGCTCTTCAAGGTATCTCTGGCATTTTCCCTAGGCACGTTTATTCCTGAGCTATTTGTGTCAAGCAAAAGGCATACTGTTCATTTAATAAATAATTTATTGAGTACCTGTAATGTGCAAGGTTTGAAGGAATGCAGTCTTGCCACTTCAACTTAAGAGAAGGAAGTTGACTTAAAACAATTTCAGAGTTTGTAAATAAACTCATTAATTTCTTCAACCCAGTTATTGAGCATTACTATGTCCTGGGCACTGGGTACTTGGAATACATCAGTGAACAAAACACAAAGACCCAGACCTTTAAAGTGAGGACAGACAGACAATAAATACACACAATAACCCTTTAAGTTATATAATTTGGTAACCAGTCATCATTGAGTCAATTCTGACTCATGCATCTTATGTATGTCAGTGTCGAACTGTGCTCGATATGGTTTGCAATGGCTGATTTTTTTTTTTAAGGAGATCACCAGGCCTTTCTTCTGAAGCACCTTTGGGTGGACTCAAATCTCTAACTTTTCAATTAATAGCCCAGAGCTTAAATGTTTGCATTACTTAGAAATGCCTCTATATTTTGATAGAAGATGATAAATGCAATAGGAAAAAAGCAGAGCCCTAAGCAAAGTAAGATATATGGGTGCCATGCAAAGGCATTTGACTACTGGATCATAACAAATTATGGATAACATTGTAAAGAATGGGAATTCATGAACACTTACCTGTGTGTATAGACCCAGGGGCAGTTGTTCAAACAGAACAAGGGGAACAGAACTGCATGGTTTAAAAGGTGTGTGTCAGGGTTGTATCCTTTCACCATACTTATTCAACCTGTATGCTGGGCAAATAATCCCAGAAGCTGGACTAGATGAAGGATACAGCATCAGGATTGGAGGAAGACTCATGAACAACCTGTGATATGCAGATACCACCACCTAGCTTGCTGAAAGTAAAGAGGACTTGAAGCATTTACTTCAGTATGGATTATACTTCAACATAAAACAAACTTCTTCAACTGGACCAGTAAGCAACATCATGATAAACGGGGAAAAGATTGAAGTTGTCAAGGATTTCATTTTACTTGGGTACACGATCAACACCCATGGAAGCAGCAATCAAGAAATAAACGATGTATTGTATCAGGCAAATCTGCTGCGAAAGACCTCTTGAAAGTTTGAAAAACAAAGATGTCACTTTGAAGACTATGGTGCGCCTGATCCAAACCACGGTATTTTCAATCCCCTGTGAATGGGAAAGCTGGACAATAAATAAGACCAAAGAAGAATTGATTCATTTAAACTATGGTATTAGTGAAGCATATTGAATATACTTTGGACTGCCAGAACAAACAAATCTGTCTCAGAAGAAATGCAGTCAGAATGCTCCTTAGAAACAAGATTGACAAGACTTCATCTCACATACTTTGGACACGTTATCAGGAGGGACCAGTCCCTGGAGAAAGACATTATGCTTGGAAAAGTAGAGGGTCAGTGAAAAAGAAGATGACCCTCACTGAGATGGATGGACACAGTGGCTGCAACAGTGGGCTCCAGCATAGCATGGGTTGTGAGGATGGTGCAGGACCAGGCAGTGTTTCTTCCTGTTGTGCATGGGGTCACTATGGGTTGAAACCAACTTAACAGCACCTAACAACAACAAACATTTAAGTGTGGGAGAATCCTTGGTGGTACACTGGTTAAACACTCAACTGCTAACCAAAATGTAAAGGTTGGTGGTTCGAAACCACCATCTTTTCCACAGGAGAAAGATGTGGCATTCTGCTTCTGTAAAGATTCATTGCTTGGTGCTGTCAAGTTGGCCTCTATTCGTAGTGACCCTCTGTACAATGGAATGAAACACTGCCCAGTCCAGTGCCGTCCCCAGTCATTGCCATGGTTGAGCCCATTACTGCAGCCATGTGTCAGTCCGTCTGGTTGAGGGCCTTCCCCGTTTACGCTGACCCTCTACTTTAGCAAGCATATTCTTCTCCAGGGAGTTGTCCGTGTAAAGATTACAGCCCCAGAAACCATGTAGGGAAGTTCTGCTCTGTCCTGTAAGGTTGCTGTGAGTCAGAATCGACTGGATGATGGGGTATTTACGTAAGGACCAGATAATGACAATGTAAGGTGTTATTATGGAAGTAGCAATAATTTTTATAGGTGAACATTTCATTAATGATTAGTTAAACTAGTTTCAGATACTACTGAAACTATAGGTAAAGAAAAGTAGAAAATGGGATTTAAATGAATTCTAAAAATATTCAAATATTCAGACCCTTTATAATTCAGAGGTCTTCTTTTACTGCCAGCCCAGCTTTTCTCCACCTGAAACCTCCTTCCCCTACTCATTGGTCAAAAATACTGAGAATTTTCTATGCTGAGATTCCTGAATAGAGAAAAAAAAAAAAAAAATCTTATTAAATACTTGAAAACACTTGTTTTTATGCAGACACCTGTTATTTTATTGGATCTTGTTAGTAAGAAACTTAAGAAGCTTGTACATGAAGAGGATCCAGATGCCATATCAGGTATAAAATTCAGACTTGTTTCTTCTTTATCATTAAGTGACTCTTATAAAGTTAAGTAAGTTGGGAAAGGAGCCAAAGGTATGTAATAAATATATAATGTTGTAAAAGGCAGTTACATGCAGGTTATGTTTTAATAGCTACAGAGTAAGTTCTTCTCTGGTTCTTTTCGGAAGCCCTTTGTTTCATTACCTTTCTACTAAGAAGCTGACAACTTTTGGTATCTCATTGCTGCTCCCAAGTCTCACTTTGCTCATCTGCCCACCTGCTTGCTTCCTTGCCCCTGTGCTCTCTGTTGTCTTCAGAAATTTTTTTTCTTGTCTTTGTTCTTCTCTGTCCTCTACCTCCTTCTTTTCTAGGGAGATGGCCAAATTTTATAGGGAAGGAGCTCAATCCCCAATTGAGTAGATTTCATGATATTTCTACTCAGTGACTTGTTGGAATATATGTAATTCCTTAATTTAGAAATTTTAAAACTATAAAATAACTTTTAATATAAATTTCCTAGAATGTCATGTGGGAGACAATGCAGTGCTAAGATTAAATTGCCTGGGCAAGTCACTTAAATGCTTGGTGTCTCAGCTTCTTCCTCTATGAACTATGAATAATACCATCTACCTCACAGAGCAGTTGTGAGTACAATTAAATTAAGCCCAAGACGTGTATGAGTCACATAGTAAATGCTCCCAAACCCAAAAACCCACTGCCATCAAATCAATTCCAACTCATAGTGACCCTATAGGACAGCAGAACAAGGCTATAAACTTTTACAGGAGTAGACTGCCACATCTCTTTCCCACAGAGTGGCTGGTGAGTTTGAACCAGTCACCTTTTGGTTAGTTTTAACCACTGTGCCACTAGGGCTCCTCATAAATGCTCAGTAAGTGTTATTAACTTTGTTATGTGTGTTTATTTACATTCTGCAGTAGTTTTCTAGGGCTTCCTTAATAAAGTTCCAAAACTGGTGGCTTAAAATAGCAGTTTATTTGCTCAGAGTTCAGGAAGCCAGAAGTTTGAAATCAAAGTGCCAGCAGTGCCACACTATCTTTGAAGGCTCTGAGGAAGAGCTCCCTGCCTCTTCCTAGCTTCTGTTGACTCCCAGCAGTCCTTGGCATTCCTTGTCTTATAGCTGCCTCACTCCTGTTTCTACCCTCTTATCTGTCTTCATGTGGCCTTCTCCACATGTCTATGTCGTCTTCTCTTCTTTTAAGGACATCAGCCTTTGGATTCAGCCACTACCCCACTTCACCTCCCAATCCATTATGATCTTGTCCTAATCATTAATTGATTATATCTGGAAAAACCCTATTTTCAAATAAGGTCACATTCTGAGGTTCCAGGTAAAAATAAATTTTAGGGGGACCCTATTTAACCACTAAACATTCCAAGTGAAAATCTATTCCTAATGAGAAAGAATTTAGTTTTCAATGACAAAACAACTTCTTTCTTAGATAAATTAGTACATTAAGCCATTGCCCTACTAGCTGATTGGGGAAGTTTTGGTTGTATGGGTTTCAGGTTGCCTGGTTACTATGCCTTCTTTTTTTTTTTCCAGATTTATTAACCTTGAGTTAATTTTATGATTTACAATTTCTATGAAGATGTCCATATTTGAATTACCCAATCTTTTCCATTTTTAAATCTATAATATACCCTAGATTTACCTTCCCAGATTGTTTTCAGAAATGAAATAGACATGGTGAAATTATTCCTTCATTTTTATCAGACTCAAGTTATCTTTTTAAACTTTCATCCTCAATCTTTGTGGATTATTAGAAATTTAACATATCAGTATTATGTTCTAGACAAATTCCTTGGGATTATTTTCAGCCCTAGCAGGTGTCAGACACTGTGCTGAGCACTAACATGAATTTATGAAATTATTTTAATCTTCATGATACATTTTACAGATGAGATCATTAAAGCCTAGAGAAGTTAAGTGATCTAGCCAACTAGAACAATTGGTAAGCTTTTTTCCATAAAGAAAATTTAAGGTTCCCAAGGCATCATTACTTTTTAGAAAAAGCATTCACAAAGTAAGCCATACACTAAGCCATACACACTTGTTTGCCTGACTTACTTGAAATTTCTTAGCTAATAGATGCCAATTTCTCTTATTCCCTTCTTTGAACACAAGGCATATGGCAACATGTGTTGCCATGTGCATCTTATCTGATGCAATTAAAAAATGGTACTAATGAAGTATTCTGAACCTAACATCTAGATTCTTTTTGGATGAATTTAATCTCATCTGACTAGTTTCAAAACAAACTTCAACTGGCTGCCATCACTTAATTTTTCACCTTTAATTTTTCATAGTTTTTGCTTTTGAGGAAAATGGTGGGATTGGTAAGCATTTTTATATTGATTTCCATTCAACACTCATTCATTTGTAGATGTTAAGAATTTTTTAAAGGGAGATAATGAATGTAACTGCTTTGCACAGAGCCATGTGTTTCGAGCACTTGGAAAGCAAAGTTATCTGGTATTTTCCTATAAATAGCTTGACTATTTTGTCTCTTCTTAAAGTTTATCCATTAGTCGATAGATTGTCAGGTTATATCAGCACACTGAATGAATGCTTAAATTATCTCTATGCTTTGTGTGGTAGTCGAGGAGTCCCAATCAGGGCATTTGCTTTAGGAGCGTTTCCTTCCTTGTTGTTAGTCCTGGTTGTTCTTTGGCAGCCCTTGACTTATAGATAGTTTCTCATATGATCTTTTCCTCCGGGGTGTGTGTGTGTGTGTGTTACTGTGTCTATTCGGTACTTTTTATAAGACATCCTTCAGAGGGGATTAGGTTTAGGACTCACCCTATTTCAGTATGTCATCATTAAAATAACAGAAGAAAATCCCTATTTTCAAACAAGTGTGCATTCATAGGTATGGAGGTTAGGATTCCAACATAATATTTTTTAGGGAGGGCACAATTCAGTCCCCAAGAAGGAACATTAAAGGAGAGGACTGGAGTCTATTTTGGACTTTTGATTTAAGGTACATATGACACATTCTGGTCGATATTTTCACCAGGCCAAGTAGATGCAATTTTGAAGCTCAGGAGAGAAGTATGACCTAAAAATAAGTATCTAGGAGTCATCAGCCTGTGGGTGGAAGCTGAGGGCATTTGGAGTTGGTACAGTAAAATTAAAGAGCCCTGGTGTCACAGTGGTTAAAGCACTTAGCTGCTAAGCAAAAGGTTGCAGTTCATACCTACCAGCTGCTGCATGAGAAAGATGTGGCAGTCTGCTTCTATAAAGATTTACAGCCTTAGAAGCCTATGATGCAGTTCTACTCTGTCCTATAGAGTCATCTTGAGTCTGAATCGACTCAACAGCAATGGATTTTAGAGTCAAATAAGAGGTCCAAGAATAAAACCTTCAGGGACACCAGTAGTCAAGGAGTGAGTAAGAGAAGCCTACAAAACAGAGAAGAAATGTTAGGAGGGGGATCATGTGAAGTTGTGCAGAATCAGAAAGGAGGATTCCATGTGGCAGAAGATGAGGATAGCATTAGCTGTTGGAAGGCAATTACTAGCAATTGAGTAGCTTGAGAGAGATAAATGACAGGGTGCAGTAGGATAAACAGGAATGAATGGGTTTAGAAATGAAGAATGCAAGGTCAAGGAAGAGATTTTAGCATACTTAACTGCTGAGAGAAAGACTTCAGAAAAAAGGGGATATTGAAGACATCAGAGATGATTGATGGAGACAGGCCCTGGAGGAGGCCTGAAGAAACGAGCTCAAGGCACAGGATCAAGGGTTTGCCTGCAACAGAAGGACGTGATAGTGTATTTGGATGCAAACAAACATTTAAGGTTGGAAATCATTGTAAATGATAGACTCATTTTCCTTGATGAGGTAGAATACCCTGTTGTCTAAGAGAATATGGGAGAGAGGGTTGAATGGGTGACATGAAAAGAAGGGAATGGTTTGAAATAGAGGGTTGGGGAATGGGAAAAGGAGTTGAGCAGTTAATGGATGGATGAATAAATAGTTCTGAGTGCCCAGATGAAGCTGTTGTTAGGTGCCGTCGAGTCATCTTCAACTCATAAGGAACCTTTGCACAGCAGAACAAAACACCACCTGGTCCTGTACCAGCTCCATGATCCCTGCTATACTTGAGCCAATTACGCAGCCACTGTGTCAATCTAACTCACTGAGGGCCTTCCCCTCTTTGGTCGACCCTCCACCTTACCAAGCATGACATCCTTTTCCAGGGAATGGTCCCTTCTGATAACATGACCAAAGTAGGTGAGACGAAGTCTGGCCATTTTCACTTCCAGCTGCACTTCCTCCAGGACAGATTTGTTAGTTCTTTTAGCAGTCCATGGTGGTTTCTGCATTCTTCACCAGCACCACAATTCAAAAGCATCAATTCTTCTTCAGTCTTCCTTATTCATTGTCCAGCTCTCACATGCATATGAGGCAATTGAAAATATCATGGCTTGTGTCAGGTGCACCTTAGTCCTCAAGAAACATCTTTGCCTCTTCAGCACTTGAAAGAGGTCTTTTGCAGCTGACTTGCCCAGTACTGTACATCGTCTGATGTCCTGACTGCTGCTTCCATTGGCATCAATTGTAGAACCACGCAATGTGAAGTCTTTGACAACCTCAGTCTTTTCTCCATTTATCATGATGCTGCTTATAGGTCCAGTTTTGAGGATTTTTGTTTTCTTTATATTGAGATGTAATGCAAACTGCAGACTGTATTCTTGAATATTCATCAGTAAGTGCTTCAAGTCATCTCACTTTGAGGAAGCAAAATTGTGTCATCATCGTATTGCAGGTTGTTAATGATTCTTCCTCCAATCTTGATGCCAAGTTCTTCTTCATATAGTCAGCTTCGTGGATTATTTGCTCACCATATAGATTGAATAAGTATGGTGAAAGGACACAACCCTGATGCACTTCCTTCCTCTCAACCATGCAGTGTCCCCTTGTTCCATTTGAACGACAGCCTCCTGGTCTATGTACAGGTTCCTCATGAGTACAATTAAGTGTTCTAGAATGCACATTCTTCTCAGTGTTACCAACAATTTGTTATGCTCCACACAATCAAATGCTTTCACATAGTCAGTAAAACACAAACATCTTTCTGGAATTCTTTGCTTTGAGCCAAGATCTATCTGATGTCAGCAATGATATCCCTTGTTCCACGTCCTCTTCTGAATCCAGGTCGCACCTCTGGAAGTTCTCTGTCAATATACTGCTGCAACCATTTTTGAATTATCTTCAGTAAGATTTTACTTGCGTGCAATATTAATGATATTGTTCGGTAATTTCCACCTTCTGTGGGATCACCGTTGTTTGCAATGGGTACAGATATGGGTCTCTTCCAGTCAGTTGGCCAGGTAGCTGTCTTCCAAATCTCTTGGCATAACTGAGTGAGTGCCTCCTGTGGGGCATCCATTTGTTGAAACATTTCAACAGGTATTCCATCAATTCCTGGAGCCTTGTTCTTCACCAGTTGCTTCAGTGCAGCTTCGACTTCTTCCTTCAGTATCATTGGCTCTTGATCATATGCCACCTCCTGAAATGGATGAAGATCTACCAGTTCTTTTTGGTACAGTGACTCTGTGTATTCCTTCCATCTTCTTTTGGTGCTTCCTGCAACATTCAATATTTTGCCCATAGAATCTTTCAGTATTGCAACTCGAGGCTTATATTTTTTCCTCAGTTCTTTCAGCTTGAGAAATGCTAAGCGTGTTCTTCCCATTTTGGTTTTCTAACTCCAAGTCTTTGCACATTTCATTATTATAATTGACTTTGTCTTCTCGAGCTGCTCTGTGAAATCTTCTGTTCAGCTCTTTTATGTTGTCAGTTCTTCCATTTGCTTTGGCTACTCTCTGCTCAAGGACAAGCTTCAGAGTCTCTTCTGTCGACCATTTTGGTCTTTCTTCCTCATCTTTTTAATGACCTCTTGCTTTCTTCATGGATGATGTTCTTGATGTCATCCCGTAATTCTTCTGGTTTTTGGTCACTGGTGTTCAACACATCAAATCTATTCTTTAGATGGTCCCTAAATTCAAGAGGGATATATTCAAGGTCATATTTTGGCTTTCATGGACTTGTTTCAATTGTCTTCAACTTCAAGTTGAACTTGCATATGAGCAGCTGATGGTCTGTTCCACCGTCAGCTCCTGGCCTGGTTTGGCTGAAGATATTGAGCTTTTCCATCGCCTTTTACCATAGATGTAGTCAATCTGATTCCTGTGTATTCCATCTGGTGACATCCACTTGTATAGCCACCGCTCGTGTTGTTGAAAAAAGGTATTTGCAATGAATAAGTCATTGGTCTTGCAAAATTCTGTCATGCAATCTCCAGCATTATTTTTGTCACTGAGGCCAAATTTTCCAACTACCAGTGATTCTTCTTTGTTTCCAACTTTTGCATTCCAGTCACCAGTGATAATTAACACATCTTGATTGAACATTCAGTCAATTTCAGATTGCAGAAGTTGATAAAAATCTTCAATTTCCTCATCTTTGGCTTTGGTGGTTGGTGCATAAATTTGAATAATAGTCATATTAACTGTTCTTCCTTGTAGACGTATGGATATTATCCTATCACTGACAGCATTGTACTTCAGGACAGATCTTGAAATATCCTTTGTGATGATGAATGCCACACCATGCCTCTTCCAATTGTCATTCCTGACATAATAGATCACATGGTTGTCTAATTTATAATGGCCAAAACCAGTCCACTTCAGCTCACTAATGCCTAGGATATCAATCTTTATGCATTCCATTTCGTTTTTGACAACTTCCAATTTTCCTGGATTCACACTTTGTACATTCCATGTTCCGATTATTAATGGATGCTTGCAGCTGTTTCTCCTCAATTTGAGTTGTGTCATGTCAGCAAATGGAGGTCTCAGAAGCTTTACTTTATCCATCATCAGTAAGGTTGGTTCTACTCTGATGATGCAGAACTTTCCCAGTCCTGTTCTGAGAGCCGTCCAACATAAGTGGTTCATCGTTCTACACTGTATCAGACAGTGTTTCCAGGTTATTCATATAGTTGCCTACTAAGGTAAAAGACAGTGTTTCTCTGCTATTCATAAGGTTTTCCCTGGCTAATTCTTTGAGAAGTGGATGGCCTCCTCCTTCTTCCTAGTCTGTCTCAGTCTGCAAGCCGTGCCAAAATCTGTGCACCATGTATAACCCTGCTGGCATTTGAAACACCGGTGGCACAGCCTCAAGACTCAGAGCAACACACTACCAGAGCATGACAAACTGACAGACAAGTTTGTCTCCCTTAGCTGTTTGAAACCTCTCCACCCTCCCCTTACCAGGATCCCTGCCTCTTGTTCACTCTGTCCTAGATGCCCTGGCTTTCCTTTCCTTTCCCCTCTGCTTTTCCTGCACTTGGGGGTTGGGGCTTGGGTCTGTCCCCTTACCCAGATCCCTCTGCTGCTTGCTTGCTCTGTCCTGGACACCCCAGCTTTCCTTTCCCCTCCAGATGAAGTAGGAGAGCAAAAACTAGTGTGCCAGTTTGGAAAGTATGATTTTTCTCAGAAGCACTCTATTGGAGTGAAAAAACATAGATTATGATTATGATCTGGGATTTTGCTTTGTGAGCAAGATAGAAGGACAAGAGTATTGAGGATAGATGTTGATGAGAGAGTGGTTCAGATGTTCAGCTGTGGGACTGGCTCAAAATGGGAAAAACATGCTAGGAGGGAGTCTGATAAAGGAAAGTGGCATATATTTGATGTTCTAAGACTGAAGAAAGTTGTGGCAGAAATAGAGGCAGAGTAACAGTGGTGAAGGAGCCCGGGTGGTGCAGTGGTTAAGTAAGTATTCTGCTGCTAATCAAAAGGACAACGGTTTGAACCCACCAGCTGCTCTGCTGGAAAAAGATGCAGCAGTATGTTTCTGTAACAATTACAGCCATGGAAACCCTATGGAGCAGTTCTACTCTGTCCTATAGGGTTGCTGTGAATGAGAATTGACTCAATAGCACACAACAACAAACACCTCTAGCCCTGGGATTGGACAATCCTGAGTTTCAATCCTAGCTCAGCCATTTTCTAGGTTTGGTGGTCCATGTTTTTACTGCTTTAAAGTAGGGCTGATAATGATAATACCTATACCTTATGATAACTGGGCAATCTACTTCCGTAGTGATACTGCCTCGGAAACCCAAAGAGGGGTCACTATGAGTCGTGTCTGACTCCATGGCACGTAACAACAACAACATACCTTATGATACTGAAGATTTAATGAGAAAAAAGTACCAAACGCTTGGCATGTGATAAGTGCATACTGAATTTTAGCTATCATTATATTATTATAATGGTGGCACAATGGTTAAGCTTTCGGCTGCTGACCAAAATGTTGGCAATTCGAACCCACCCAGAGGCTTTGAGAGAAAGGTTTGGCAATCTGTTCCTATAAAGAGTACAGCCTAGAAAACTGTAGGGCAGTTCTACTCTGTCGCATAGGGTTGCTATTAAGTACAGACTGACTCAGTGTCATCTAACAACAACAAATGGATAGAGAGGTGAGTTTAGAAGTTGAAGTACAGAAGCAATGTAATCCTAGGATGTCACTATAGGTATAGTTAGGTGAAGGCCATCATAAAGGAAAAAGACAAAAACAACAGAAACTAATGCTTCGGGATTTCACCCATTAGTCTGATTGAGAACTGCTTTAGTGTGTACGGAAGCTATGGTGTTTTCTTCTGTGGATCAGCATATGGGGCGGCTTGGTCAGCTGTATGTGCTAAGCTCAAAGAGCAGTGAGAGAACCCTGGAACAGGATTCAGAAATTCTTTGTTCAAAATATGCTTCTGATTTTCTAGCCATGTCATTCTTGAAATTTGCATCTCCTACTTCATGTTATTATTTATGTCATACATTATGTACATAAACTATTATAGTAAAGTATAAAGCACTTCATGAAGAAACAAGATTATTACCCTGAAACAGAAAAAAATATGAACATAATTATATTATCTACCACATTTTTTGGGAGAAAAAAGTCCAGCATAAGGTTCTTTTTGATAATTTAAGTGAACTTCAGTTGTTTTTTAACTTGTTTTTCCAATTGTACTTTTTTTTTTTTTAAAGACTTCACATTTTGCCAACGTTTGACAGACAAGGAGTTTGAAAAACAAAAGGAAACAACAATTCAGTATCTTCGCCAGTTGGCTCATGAGATTAATAGCAACTCCAACATCTCTTGGAAACAAAAAAAGAAATTAATTAAGGGTTTTGAAAAATACCATCCAGAAGCTTTGAGTTAACATTTCTGGAGCAAGAAACTGCAAACAGCTCTTTGGTAGTTTTTTCAAACTGCCATACTTACAGATCAGAAAAAGGGTCAACTCAACCATTTTAAGTATGACAGACTGACAGATGAGTGGTGGTATATTTTAAGTATAATGTTTAAAATATAAATATTAAGGAACTTTTTAACTTTAAAAAGGAATACAGGTTAGTCTTCATGTCTGCTACTGATTCACTTAATTATTACACTGCTAAAATCAAGTGCTAAATGTGCTTCTGTTACTAGGGATCTGGTCCAGTTAATTTCCATAGATTTCCCCCACACACACACACACACACAGAAAAGTAACATTTCAAACCTAAGCTCTCTGAAGAAAGCATGAACTTTCCTTATTGTATTATGTTCCAGGTTCCCCTACAGGCTGCTGTAACTAAAATGACTGTGAATCTTCTCAATAGGGTAAGAGGTATAAAGTAGAAAACTTAAAAAAATACAGTGTTTGTCAACTACTTGGAGGGGGATCTATGTAGGAGATCCTGGATAGAGAGGGAGAACAATGTGGAACAAAACTCAAAATTATTTGGGGGGAAAAAAAAGAGAGACAAGGTTTGCTGGTCTGATAGAGCCTGGTAGAACTACTGAGACTATGGCCCCTGGCTGCCCTTCAGGTCTGGAATTGAACCACACCTGTGGCTTCCAGCCAAACAAAAGACAGGCATAAGAGTTGAACATGCACCTGAGGTAGATACATTCCTTGGAGAGAACAATCATGGGAGAAAGAAGGGCTGTTTATACACAGGGAGACAGCTCAGGGGGCAGGAGAGTATGGAGGGATGGACACAGGGAAGGGGTAACTATGGGAAGGAAGTGGGAAGGGAGCTGTTGCATTGTGGTAAATTGTAGTCAATGTCATGAGACGAAGTATATGTGAACTTCTGTATAGAAAGTAAATTTGCTCTGTAAACTTTCACCCAAATCACAATTAAAAAAATAAATACAAATTTTTAAAAAAGCAAGTAATAAAAAAAAAAGTGTAAAATTCATAAATCTCTAAAACGATGATTTAGCTTTCTCTCTTTCTTAATCCGTAGAGTATCTTATATTTTTCTTCTGTCTCATTCTTGCCTCTCGCATTCTTACTCTTCTGACCTGTCTGTCTTGCTCTCACTTTCTCTATTTTTAAGTTGACTAGTCCACTCTGTTGCATCACCTTCTTTATGGGGCAAAGACTACAGATCTATGTTGAAGGTTACACAGAAAAACATCCTTCTGTCCTCTTAATTTCTGACACTGACCACAGAGCAAGAGAGGTAAAAATCATAAATACTTGCAAAAATTAAACTGAATTAATTATTTAATTATTATTATGATAAGTCTTCTGAGGGGG